CCCTCAGCTCTTCAGCTCAAGGCTAGCACTCTACCACTTGAGCCAAAGCGCCACTTTCGGCTTTTTTTTTCCTGCTTATATGGTGCTGAGGAATTGAACCCAGGACCTCATGCATGCAAGACAAGTGCTCTACCACTGAGTCACCTTCCCAGCCCTGTGGATCACATTTCAAAGCTAGCCCCCGCAAGAAAAGTCTATGAGACTCTGATCTCTAAAAATACAACAGAAAACTGGAAGTGGGAGCTGTGGCTCAAAGTGGTAGAGTGTTCACTTTGAGCTGAAGAGCTCAGGGACAATACTCAGGCCTGGATTTCAAGCCCCACTGCTAACAAAAACAAAAAAAGAAAATAAAGAAATAGAGTATAAGCAGGGCACTGGTGGCTCACACCTATAATCCTAGCTACTCAGGAGGCTAAGATCTGAGGATCACAGTTCAAAGCCAGCCAGGGCAGGAAAGTTTGTGAAACTCTTACTTCCAGTAAAAACCACCAGGAAACCGGAAGTGGCGCTGTAGCTCAAGTGGTAGAGTGTTAGCCTTGAGCTGAAGAGCTGAGGGACAGAGCTCAGGCCCAGAGTTCAAGCCCCATGACCAACAAAAAGAGTGTATAAAGTTTCTGTATGGTAAATATTATTTCATTGTAATAATTTTCAATTTTATATATACATGGGTAAAGTGGATCAAAATGAAGAGATGTAGAAAACTTTTAAGAAATTTGATGAAAAGGAGTTTGTTATATGGGCTGGAACTGTAATGTACCTCAGTGGTAGAACATATTCTTACCAGGCAAAAAGCCCTAGTTCAACCCATAGAATCATCAAGAAAAATTGTTGAAACATTATAATATACTTTATAATTTCATTGGTAAAAGACCAACTCATGTGAAATTTGAGTTCACCAAATTGTAAGACTGCAGACCTAAGTACAAAAGAATCCCCAAATAATACATTTATTTATTTATTTAGGGTCTGGTCCGGGGGGCCTCAACTCTGAGCCTGGGTGCTGTCCCTCAGCTCTTCAGCTCAAGGCTAGCACTCTACTACTTGAGCCACAGTGCCACTTCTGGCTTCTTTTTTCTGCTTATGTGGTGCTGAGGAATCGAACCTAAGGCTTCAAACATGCAAGGCAAGTGCTTTACCACTGAGCCACCTTCCCAGCCCAATATTTTTATTTTTATAAGAACTGTTAGTTGCCGGGCGCTGGTGGCTCACACCTGTAATCCTAGCTACTCAGGAGGCTGAGATCTGAGGATCGCGGTTCAAAGCCAGCCCAGGCAGGAGAGACCGTGAGACTCCTATTTCCAATAAACCACCAGAAAACCGGAAGTGGTGCTATAGCTCAAGTGGTAGAGCGCTCGCCTTGAGCTGAAGAGCTGAGGGACAGC